TTTTCTTTGACAGCTTCTGTCTTTGACAGCCTCATAGACTCTCCCTCTATCTTCAAAGCCAGTCACATCTCTCTTTCTAGCTACCGCCTCTTCTGACTGAAGCTGGCAAAAGTTCTCCACTCTTAAGGATCCAGGGGACAACACAGGCTCCAGGTATACTCCAGAACACTCTCCCTGTCGAGATCCAGGCCTATAATCAATAAGAGTCCCATTTGCCAAGCAAGATAATATATTTATTTGCAGGCTTCAAGGATAAGGATATGACCATCTTTTTGGAATATTCCTCCGCTTGCAATGTTATTTACCTGCAACTCATATTTAACTAGGCACCCCTTGTTTGTTTCCTGAGTTTAGTGAGCCTACCTATAACATTTTTCTTTGGTTAGCATCAAAGTATTTCAATTGTACTGGACTTTTCACTTCCTTATTTATTGCTCCTTTACACTCAATGACTCCACTTTTCATTGGCTGCTAAGCTGTATTACATGTGTTTTTGTTCCAAATTTTGAGATTCATAGTTCTTTGTAATGAATGATACTCATGCATACATGTAACGAAATGCTACTTCATTACTTGTTGCCCTTTCATTCAGACTTTGGGGGCATTAGGAGAGAAACCCCAAAGCTATGCTTTGTGATTCAGTTTAGGAGAGAAACCCTGAAAGCCATGCCTTGTGATTCAGTTACAAAGGAACTTGATACAAAGGACGGGATGCATCTAAAACTTGTAGAAGAGCCAGGAGAAGTCGGGAGAGGAAGGTGAGGGGAAGCCACAAGTTTTCGTGGTCGCTGTTTTCACTCAGATACACGAAGATGCAGAGACTTCAGGAAGCTGCTGTTACCGATCACATCTGCTTCTTGACCCGGTGTGGATGATTCACAGAGAGATGTCTGGGAGTCAAAATCTGATAACTGCCGAAACCCACACTTCTGCCCTCTTCAGCAGACAAGCAGAGCTCCAGCTTCTCTTGCTCTTGACCCTCCCCCTCTGGAGCCCCCTCCCCCCAATTCACAGGCAAGCACATCTGGCTGTCAGCCTTTGGCGAGACCTCTGCTGGTGAGAATGTTGGGAAAGGCAGTTTCTAGGCTTCTAGCCCCAGTGATAAGAGTGGTGAGCACTCCAGACAAGCTGGCACACATAGTTAGAGAAGCAACTTCAAGGGTTTAAAGGGGAAAGCTGCTGAAGAGCAAGGTAGCTACAGTGCCCTGGAAGATTCCCAGACCCCAAGTGTGTAGGGCGCATCCGTCATCTGTCCTCAACAATAGCACTTTAGCAACTGGCTTTCCCAGCATCCTCTGCTCTTAGGGTTTCTCTGACTATCCAGTCTTGTTCATCAGAATTTTGCCTTCCTATCTAAGGTGGTGGTGGGTCTAAAGAATTTTGATAAGTGATTTGTTTCCAGGACTAGTTCCTGAACTGTAAGATATTACTATCTTATTATCTATTCCTGTGAAATGAACTACATACACTAAAATTCAGTGGCTCAAAGTAACAACTCCTATTTATCATAAATATTGACTTGAGCATTCATGCAGGGTACAGCTTGGCTGTTCTACATCTCAGGTGTTATCCGGGTCTTTCATTCAGTTGCATCAGCCAGTGGCTGAACAAGAAGACCCACAAGTGTCTGCCCTTGATGCAATAGCACATAGCTTCTCTCCATCAACGTGGCCAAATGAGTCTTCCAAACATCACAGTCTCAGGTAATGGGGTTCCTTGCACTGTGTTTTAGATTCATGACTCACCATGTCCGTGTGTCACTGCCAATGCCAATCAAATATCATTAAGATTTAGTATTTTTAAATGTCTTCATGTATGTAAAGACAGACCTACTGCCTTTACACATTGCACAGCTAGCCATTTGTGGACCTTTTCATGTCCACCTCATTGTTGCTTCCTGAATTCTTCTCTAACTCCATGACCAAGTCTCTTCCAGCTTTCCATAACATTGATGCCAAGAGCTTGTTCCCTTTTGTGTCCTCTTCCCATTGATGGCACAAGTCAAACACTCAACGGTGCTTAGCCTTGTCCCACGCCTTGTCCCACACATCATGGTAGGGCTCTGAGTGGGATTTATATTAAACAAGCTTAAAGCTGAGCATTGTGAAATCCCAGGACTCATCACTGAGTAAATAAAGCAGGCTTCCTCTTCTGAACATGCTGGTAGCTATGGGTTTACACTCCTGGACATGTACAGATGCATACAGCTACTTGGACACTCTCATCCTTCTAAGAACATTGTTAGGGAACAAAATGTTAATAGTCTTGTGTTATACCATGAAGCCAAAGTTTGAGAGAAATTAAAACTTAGAGGTGACAGGGGTGTGCCTTATTATCTTCCTATCTCTAGGGTCCTACCACAGAGGTTGAAGAACATCAGTGAATTTCATAAACATTTGCTGTCTAAAGGCTGTTTCTTCACATTTTAACTGACCAAGAAGCTGAAATCTACAACTTGCTTTTCAAGTACTTCTTGTTTTTGTTTTGTTTTGTTTGGTTTGGTTTTTGGTTTTTTGACACAGAGTTTCTCTGTCTTGCTTTGGAGGTTGTCCTGGAACTCACTCTGTAGACCAGGCTGGCCTCGAACTCACAGAGCTCTGCCTGCCTGTGCCCCCAAGTGCTGGGATTAAAGGCATGTACCACCAACGCCCGGCTGCAAGTATTTCTTAAGAAATTCTGGGGGCACACCTTCATTATTTTCTATGATACAAAAGTCAAACTCCAACCATCACAGATAATAGTAGAAAGTGAAACAAAAAGAAAACGAATTTGACATTGGACTTAGAAATCACCTAGCCTGTTCATTTAGCGCACATTAACTTCCTTCTAGTTGTTAGAAAACCAGTGTGAGTGTGCAGAGTGGAAGGGGCCACTTGGGAAAGCAGGCCAGGGCAGAAGGCTTATGCAGGATCCGTGGTCACCTGCCAGGCAGCTCCTGCTCGGGATGATGCCACACTGGCACCAGAAGCAAAGGTGGAGGGGCCCCGCTGCCCTTTTAATCACAGTGGAGCTGCTGTGAGCACAGCCCAGCCTCCTGGGCTGCCTGCAGATTCTGATAGCTTAGGCAGAAGCAAGGAAGAAGCTGATAATGAAGTAGCCCTGGGAAGCCTGGGGGTTGCCCAGAGCCTCCCTTCTGGGCAAGTCTTGTGACAAATGTGAAAATGTCCCTCAGGGGCCTGAGCAACAGCCAAGGCCAGCCTTTTCCTTTCTCCAGCTTGTCAAATTTGACACCATGTCTGTCTGGCTTCCCTCCGTTTCAAAAGGGGAGACTAAGCTGTTTGCTAATAGGACAAGAGTCCTACACAACTCTCTAGCCAGGGTTTTGAAATAAGCACTAGAGGCAGTATGCAGAATACCGAGAAGCAGAAACAGGGAATCTTGCTTTGTGGGTAGAGACCTGGAAGGAGCCTGGGCTCCAACTGGATGCTATTTGTTCCTTTTCATTTCAGACTGCTTACTGTTCATACCATTTTGACCAAGACACTCTCTCCCCAAAAGGTACAACTGTACAGCCACTCATTTCTGCTCCCTCACACACCCTGAGCTTCCTGCTGGTGGGGCGATCTTTGAAGCAACCCCAGAAGGCACGTTCTAGGGCAGCAGCTTGAAGGCTTCTACCATGGGCGCTAGATAGTGACCTGTCCTGGACCCAGAAGGGGAAATTTGAGCCTCCATTAAACATAGCCAAACCCATCTATGAGTTCTTTCCAGAAAGAATTGCAGATTTTTCTGAAGTTCACTAAGCCACGGCCATCCAAGTAGAACCCCAGTTCCTCCTCTGGAAGCACAAAGCGCAGGCTATAGTCTCTTTCGTGCTTGGTACAGCCCAGTCACCTGCGATCAAGTGGTCTCCTAATGGCCAGGGTTGAGGCCAACTGAGACCAGGAAAACTAGCAGAAGGGAGAAGTCCCAGATCTATTTTTCCTACCCTGAAAGATCTTTCCCAGCACTGGGATGCACATATGCTAAACAAGAACTTACCCAAAGGATCCAATCCTGCCTCTTGGCATCCAGAAAGTATTTCTGTCCACCATTCTGAAGGTACACCGAACTTCCTAACTTGCTTGCTAACTTGCTTCCTACTATCCTACACTCCATCTCCTCCCACCCCTCCCCCCACCCATCCCACTGGATCTCTTCCTTTATAGCTACTAGCTAGTATTTTGGCCAGCTGGAGGGGTGAGGCTTGACCTTCATGCAGGGATGCCCTGCAGATCCACTTAGGTGGAAGGGTCAAGAATAAAAACATGGAGAATTTACCAGGCTTTACAGGGGCCAAGTAAATGCATTAGAGGACACCATGCCATCATTCTTTTTGCCATATCTACTTAGGGCAAGTAAGCTAAACACTATTATCCAGGTGCCCACAAACTGTCCAGGCTATTTAGAGGCCGAATGGGCTCTGGAAACCATGTCTCCTATTTTCTAGGGTCCTGCTCCGAGCAATGATAAAAATTTGGAGGAAATGACTCCATCTGTTTCCCCCACTCATTTCAGGATGGAGAGAGAACAGAAGAGTGGATATAGGGAAGGGTCACCTCAGAATTAAAATGCCTTTCCGATCAATTTGACTCATGCTTTGCTGTGATCAAAAACCTCTTAGAATTCCAGGCTTTTCCCAGAAAACTGCAAGTATAAAACTAGTACCCCTTTTATCACGTGTAATCATTCAATAATATGTGAACAGAAGTGGCTATCCATCTTCATGGTCAGTTGTCTATTGTCAACAATAAAGCCACAGCATCAGTGGTCATTCTGTAGGGTGGTACCCCTCTTAAGCATCTGTCTGGCCACTGCCCTTGACCTTTGGAAGATTTAGGCATGCTAAAGCTCTTGCTGTTGACTGATAGGACTGTTTCATGTTGGGTGTGAATCAGAGAGAAACTAGGAAGCTTGAACTGGAACATGAATTCAGAAACTACTGAGATAACATCACTTAAGGTTCCATTCTGCGAGAATAGACACAGGTTCTGCTCTAACTAAGTACACAGTGATTTTTATGGTGAGATGCCCATCTTGATTTATTCTGAAATTCAGTTTACAGCATTGTTGATCCAACATATTTGTATTCTTTAACCAGTTTTCTTCACTCTTATTGAGGGCCTAGGGAAACCTGTTAATATTCAGTGTATGAAATAGAGTAGATCTCTTTTGGTTTTGCTTTTGGTTTTGTTTGCCCAAAGATGAGCCTCAGAGATACCACAATTCTTGGGAAAAAATTAAGCAATAGGCCATGAATGGTCATTTTTCAAACAAGATGTTCAGAAAGTTTTGTCATGTCACATTTCATTGAAACATTCCAGATCCTTCTTTATTTCTGTACTCTAAGCCATGTCCTTTACAACTGTTTTACATTCCATGCATTAGGTGAAAAACTTCTGACCTAATATGAACTTTGAACTAACCTGGCAGCAGTATTCTACACTTCCGAGTTATGGATGGATTGGTGGGAGACATTTTCACAGAATGTCACTGACAAAACTCTGAGGCAGAGGTGAGTGTGTGGAGCTGAGCCTACACTTGGAGATGCAGAAGCGATCACGAGGCTGGCACACGAAATGAGGCTCTGTTCCACGGTGGGTCACCCTTCAAGCAGTGGCCACCGCAGCGCACTCACCAGTTGCATTATTTGCCAACAGTTGCATGGTAGTTTTGAGTTTTGTTCCTGGTGGGTTGAGGTATCCCTTCTCTGCTCGAACATACAGCTCCAGTTCAGGGTTTCCAACCACAAAGTGCTAAACAGACACCTTAAAAAAACAAATACTGGCACTCATTTCTGGTCTTTGTATCTCTCTGGGATGTTCCCATTCTTTTTTGTATCCACCCCAGTAAATCTCTTCCTCTGGATATCATAAAGATCACTTCATCTTGTTTAAAGATGGTCAGTGGAATGACTAACGGAGGTGGCTTCTCAGGGGCCTATGAAAGCAGTAGGCCTTAAATCAGATTTCAGAAGCATTTCTACCTATGCTTCAGTTTCAACAAGGAAAGACAGTCCCTGGATCTGGGGGATCAAAACTCAGAGACTTGAGTGCAGTGCTCAGCAAGTCTCCAGTGCACACCATGTGATGATCTGAAATGCAGATACCTTTCCTTCTACGGGCCAGGGTCACAGGCTGGTGGAAACCGGAAGAGACAGTGAGCTGTGTGTTCCTGGATAGCTAGGGAGGAGGTGGTGGGAACTTCTAGTCTCCCTCAGTTTGTCACGACTATGCAAGCATGCTCTGCCTATGGGAGCAAAGACAAAGAGGCACACCACTGCCAGTCTCCCTGGCTTCACACTCATCTATCATTTGAACGGAGAACTCAAGATTCTTACACCAATTCACATAATTGCAGTCAGGTATGAGACAGAATGCAAGCTATTCATTTTTCAAAATTTTAAAAACATGTGATGACATAAATATGACACAAACTTTTTCATTTTGCAAAACTGAAATTCTGTACCCATGAAACAACTACCCAGTCTTCCTCCCCACAGCGTCTATTCCAACATTCTGTCTCTAAATTGTCTATTTGTGACATGCTATAGAAGTAGAACAGAATGGCATCTTTAAGGCTCACCCATGTTGTGCCATCTCTGTCTTTTACAGACTCAACACTATCCCACTGGATGCGTGTGGTACATTTAAAACTTCACTCCCCTGCCCACGGACACTTGGGAGGCTACTCTAAATATTGCTGCTGTTTGCATGGGTACAAACATGGGTAAAATTCCCTGTTTTTGGTTCTTTGGGATACATAGCCTAAAGTGGAAGAGTGTCACATGGTAACTTAACTCTCTGTGTCATGCTGAAGGAATTTGCATACTACTATTTCCCAACAACCCTCTACTCAACTGTTGCAAGGCAGCCACTCTTAAGATTTGTGTCTAGGAACAGAGCGAAGTCAGCTAGCCTTAATTCTTGGAAGTGTCCTTCACCAACCCCACTTTTCCAGGTGATGGGAGTCAGAAGTTCAGTCAGTTGTAACACACTGAAGGAGACTGGATGTATCCTCAAGAGCTTTTGTGACTCATCACAGTGGACTACTGAGTTCTTGTCACTTCCTTCCATTGTCAGGGGGAAGGAAGGGACCAAGTAGCTCCCAGGTGTTATGAGATGTCATGTGTGCTTGTGACTTAAGGAGAGATGTCTTGCCCCTCCCTATTCGTTCCATACAGATTGTGCTCAGGTTCAGATGTTGGCCTTCTGAGAACTCTGGGCCTCTGGGACTCATCTCCACACAAGCCTTGGAACTGCTTTTCCAATCCCAGTCTTCTTTCCTAGGATCTAAAGATGTTCTGGGCAAAGGTTTCTGGATACATATTTATGCTCTGCTTGCATGCTCATGTCCAATAGGGAAAATGTAGACATCAATTGCTGCCTCTGTTGGGAACTCAGCCTGCGCCGGATCAGTTTGGGAGTGGGCTTCCTGCCCACAGCATTATCTGATCTACAGTGGATACCAGAACTTTATTGAGAGCTCAGCTAGCTGGACATAAAGCAAGGTGAGATCAACACTAGGCTTTCACAGCAAAGGAAAGAAGAAGTCAGGCTAGCCCCACCCCTTCACATTTCCATCTAAAGAAAAACAAAAACAAAAAAACCTCTCTCCCTACCTGTGGCCATAAACTTTGGAAGAAGGCAGACCTCTTAGATGTGCATGTCACCCTCAGCTCCGGTGGAAGGACTGAGAGCTCAGACCCTATCTTCTGACCTCAGTTTCTTTCTCTACTAAGATGAGAAGGAGCAAATAACCTTGACTGGCAATGAAACATCCCTAAACAAGCAAATAAAACTCTACTAAACTGCTAATCACCTAGCATAGAGAGAAGGTAACTTCAAAAGACTTAGTTCAATGCTTAGGCTTGTGGGAACAAGTCCAACTCATACCCCCTATGCATCGTCACTGAGCTGATGGCCTCTGGTCCATCATCTCCCCCAGGGCTACCTGTCTTCTGGCTCTCTCTCCCTTTTCTCCTTCTTCATGGACCTCCCCAGCTCCCTCTGCCTGAAGATCGCTTAGCACATGTGTTTGCAATGCCCTTTCTTGCTTTTCATGTCTCTGCCTCCTCCTCCTCTAAACTCAATCCAGAACAATTTCTTTTGTACCACCCACAAAGGCAGGCACACTGCTAGGCACATGTCCCAGACACATGGTTGATGCTAGCTGAAGGAGGTGGAGATATCTGGACTAGACAAACCTGCTTTCTTGGAAGCATTCACCCTTTCCAAGCAACCACCTCGTGACCATCCCAGTGGCATCTCAGGCAGAACAGTGTGTGGTTAGCAGCTCCTGGAGCCCTGGCCCTTGGGATACGGGAAGCAGGCGTGCACGGCGTGCACAGCCATTCCAATAATAGCTTCAGATGGGTGAATGCCGTGACTCACGTCCCCAGTGCATGCCTGTCTGTCTCAGAGGCAGAGGACTGTGGGCTGTGGGCTGTGGGCGGGACGCTGTCTCTGTTCAGTATGGGGGGAGGGGAGTGTCACCTGGGAAGATCAGGAAATGGGCAGAGTGCACACCAGAGCCTTGAAGCTTGAAGGGTACAAGGTCAGCTGCACTGACTCACCCAGGAAGGCGAGCGGGCAATGACCAAATATGAAGCAAGTTGCCTGTCGGGGAAGCCCTTAGAGAAACAGGAAGTGGGATCAGCTGGTAGAAAGCTCAGAAAAGAAAAGGCCACTTGACTTTGTGCTTTTGTTCTCTGTTCTCACTGTTTATCCAGAGGAGCATCTGCTGAGCACAGCACAGCAGCCCTGAGTCACCCCCACCCCCTGGCTGGAGGGTGGTACGATTCTGTCTGAGCCGGTAGATGGGCAGAATCCTACTGAGTGTGGAAGAGGTGTAGGATTTGGAGTAGGGGTCTCATCGGTCGTCTGTTTCCCAGGCCCATTGCTGTAGCTGATGTGTATTCACTGAACCTTAGTTTTGTAGATAGTATCTAGGCAAAAGGGTGCTATCTGAGCAGGGTACTGTGCTTCCAAAAGACAGCCTAGGAACTAAGCTGACCCATGGCAGAGCAACAGGCCCAGTATAAAGTTCACTCACAGGTGGATGGCATGCCAGCCACAGCTTTGCCTTCTGCGTTCTGACATTCCAGATTTAAGAGTTTGGTGGGCAGTGTTTCCACCAACCATTGTAATAAACCCAAGAGAAAGGTTGATTTGTCTAAAGGAGACAGTGAAGCTCACAGGGTTATTTGATACCACTGCTGTGTGCTTTGGAGGTGGGATTTGTACCTAGACCATGCTGCCTCCCAGCCCAGCACAATATTCCGATAGGCCTGGTTGATGTTGATTATTTAAATCTTGGGTAGCTGAGAATGCCGGGTGGTCTCAGAGGAGGCTTATTTGTGGACAAGGAATGGCAATTTGTTGGGGAGTTCTTCAGAAGTTGTACCAACCCTCATAGCCAAGCCGCCCCAGGACTTACTTCCAGTCAAGATAAAAATCTAAGTGTCCCTTGGCTGAGAAGCAGGTCCGCAGAGATGGTTCCCAGACAATGCAAGAGAAGAAAGAAGCAAGCATCTCTCCCAGTCCTTCAATGCCCCTAGGGTACGTTGTTCTGCATCCTGAGGATTGTGTAGGAATCTTCAGGCAATAGGTTGCAGATTATCTGTCATTCAAATGGGCCCCAGTTCACAGAGGGGTCTGAAACTTCAGTCCAGACACTCTTCAGCATCTAAGCCTGGGACTGGCATGCTAACAGGTTCCCCAGATAATTCCAGAAGCAGGAGTTCTGAGAACCATTCTTCCTGCAATACCACCATGGGCCTTTCATGCTAGGAGATGTAAACCATCATCCCAGATATATAAATTGAGCAAGACTGACCTGAAAAATCCCCTTCTTGAATAGGTGTCTTAGTGTCCTGGTGTCTTGACTGACAACCACATAGTTTCAAAATAGCTTTGCCTCTCAAAAGGACCTGGAAGCTTCCTTGTAGCAGCCCCAGTTAGGGACTCTGACAGAGGAGGGGGTACCTGGGATCGCTAGCATTGCCTGGAAGAAAAACACAAAGAAGGATGATAAAGCTTTAAGTGCCCTGACCCAGATTTGGGGGTTCAAAATTTGTAGAATGAAATGTATGTAAAGACAAAGATTTGAGAAATGAGAGTGGATAGGGATTTGTATTTCACAAGGATAGCTTCTATCTTTAAATTTAGGAGAGAAAGGTTATTCAGGCCAGACTCTGAAGTACTTCCTCAAACTTCCCACTTGGTCCCCCTCCACCACACAAAGTCGGCAGCAGAAGTTGGGTGGTCATTTGAAACACATCACAAAGGCATGTGTGTGGCCTAGAAATGTCTTTGCGATCTGGCAGAAACTTCCTTCAATAACTTCCTTTGGAAGCACCTCAGTTTCATTGTCATCTGCCGTCTTGGGAGGGACTGCCCACAATCTTGGCATGCAGCTATGGAAGTGAAGTCAGGTTAGAGAGATGTGAGCTCTGAAGAGGCACCCAAGGAGATATGGGTGTAGATTCACAGACTGAAACTCAGTTTTGTTTACTCTTGCTGTGGTTTAATGTAAGCCAATGTGTTTGAACACTTGGTCCCCAGTGTTTGCTCTGTTTTGGAAGGTTGTGGAACCTGTAGGTGAACTTTGGCTGGAGGAAGTGTGTCACTGGGTAGGTGGGTGGGATCTTGAGGTTTTATGTCCTGGCCCCATTTCCTGTCCCCTCTCTACGTTCTGTTCCACCAAGCTGTGAGGAGGTAAGGAGCCCCAGCTACACACCCCTGTCACCATGGAGCTGCCTGTGCCGTGGTTCATGGTCACACAGCAAACAATGTTCCCTCAAACTGTGATCCCAAGGTAACTTTCCTTAAGTTTCCTTTGTTTGGTATTTTGTCACACAATGAGAAAAGTAGCATAAAGATGTCCCTTCATCTTTACAGTTAGATCTGACTGTCACTGTGCAGCCCACTAAAAGCCATAGGCATTCCCCAGTTTTGTCTCATTTACTTAGAGTTAGTACTTTATCATTACACATCAACAGCTGACCGCTACATCGTATAGCCTGTCTATATATCCAAGGTGCACAATGTGTTCTATGGGTACAGGTTTCTATCCCTCTATCAACATCTTTGGGCCCTTTTAAATGTCTACCACTTTGAACAATTCCCAGAACTGCACAGAGAAGAGATACAATTGGGGGGATTTACTCCTCTCAGGAAGTCAGGTGAGGCTGGACTGGAGCCACAGCCAACAGCTCTCTTCTGGCAAAACAAGCAGCCCAGACCTTGGCTGTCTTGGAATTCACTGCATTTCATAGATGGGGTTGGCTGGGCCACAATGGGCAGAAATAAGTGTAATTAGGTTCTTTCTACTTTCTGCTTGCTATAACATCACAGAACATGTTAGAAACAAAGGTAGAGACTGAAACTGGGCAGCCTCTTTGGGCCTCGATTCACTCAAATGTAGAACAAATCATCAGATGACAGAAGTTCCCATCTGGTTCTTAAGTTGTACAGTCCTATCATGTCATTACTGTTAATCTGGCCCACATTTAAATGTATGTATATGTAAGGAATTATAGTCATCTGACTTACATGAGTTTGACTCTACAAGTTCTGTTTCTTTTATTTAGTTAAAAACAGCATAAAGTTACCTTTTATGTGTATATATACATTGCATATCCATATGAGCATGATGCCAAACCTTACATACCTAATGAATGGGTGATTTAAAGGTTTCCTAGCTTATCTTTATCAGAACCAACAGTAGACCTAAACCCACAAAGCGTGGGATGCTCTCGTAACGCATTATGTGTTGCCCACGAGATGATAGACTATAGAGAAAAGAATGTGGCTCTCAGAAAGACTGACCTGGGTTTGAGTGCTGCAGTGGAGTCTCAGGTTGGTCATGCATTAATTGTGTGATCTTAGACAAGGTATTTAGGTTTGCCCAGCGTCTTCATCAACAGATAGGAAAACTAACTCCCACTTTAAGATGACTAAGTTAAAGGTGCAGAGACCCACAGCCAAACATTAGCTAGATCTCTTGTGGAGGAAGGGGAGGAAGTATTGTAGGACACAGTGGTGTTAAGGATGCTACAGGAAAACCCATATACTAACCTGGTCTCATAGGGGATCACAGAGACTAAACAGAACTGGCCCAGGTAGGCTCCATGCATATATGTTACAGTTGTACAACTTGGTCTTTGAGTGGGACTCCTAACAGTGTGAGACTCCTAACAGTGGGATCAGGGGCTATCTCTGACTCTGTTGCCTGCTTTTGGGACCCTTTCCTCCTACAGGATTGCCTCATCCAGCCTAGTCCCACAGCAACTTGATGTACCATGGCTGGCCTGTATCCATGGGATGCCCACCTATATCTGAAGAGAAACAGTGGAGGAGGAGTGGATGGGGCTGGGGGGGATGGGAATAAGGGATTGAGGGGATTGATTGGGATGTAAAAAACCAACCAACCAAGCAAGCAAAAAGACTCAGTTAAATAGTACATGTTACACTTACTAGAGTACCTGGGACACTATATCTCTTGGAGTATGATGTGTTTTGATTGACATGTATATGAGTCAGCCCATGTATACCTATCTGATATTATTTTACATAGTCAAATCAAGTATTCCAACTGCCATTAACATACAGCAGAGAAATTAGCTAATGTGTCTCTGAAAACCCACAGATCAGACTTTCCTAAGGCAGGTTACAAATTCGGCAGAGGAATGTGGCCATTTAACTTGCATCCTATACTTTCCCTTGAGCATCATATTAACTGTTAAAACACAAAAATGTCATAAGCAGATCATAGGAAGCTGAGAAGAATCTCCCTTCTAAAGAGCCTTATTAGGAGTCACACTGTCATTGTCTTGGCAGTGATGGGAAGACCCTGAAAGAAGAGAGCAGGCCTTCCTGTCAGAAGAAGAGCTTCATTAGGAGAGACATCTGTCATGGATAGCATTACAGGGGCCCTCTAGGAAGAGACAGACTGCTCAGTTCTGAAGGACAAAGGGAGTCTTGCTGTTGTAGGTTTTGGGAGAAAGTGTGTCCACATCAGAGTCTGGCCTCCATGCCAAGTCACAAAACAAAACAAAAATCACTGGATAAAAGTAAGGTTATGACTCAAGGTTGTCATGGGCTTAGGTATCAGCCAGCCTGGGCTTACAGCTGCAAAGCGGAGGGAGACTGCATATAAGAGGGTTGCTTGGCCACTCTATCCAGAGATCTCCAGAGGAAGGGAACACAGCCTGATCTTTGGTAGAGAGACAAACTGACAGCTTGGAGTATCGGTGAGCTAACAAAAGGGCCTGAGAGGCTTCATAGAAAAACACTTGCTGAGCAGGTTTAACTCATTAATCTGACACATTGCATCTCTTAATACCTGTGTTAGAACTAACAAATATTCCTAGGGCCATTTTGTAGAGACCAAAATACACTCCTGGAAACATTTCTAAGGTGCACAACTTATAGGGGCCTAAGTCATTAAGGGCATAGGAAATTCCGTCTTCTAGGAGCCCCTGACTAGACACAAAGGCTTATGTGTAGCTGCTGGGTTAGGCCAGACACTCCGGGTGACACTTAGCACAGAATCACTTGGGGCACATTGTAAAAGTTAATATCCCTTAGCTGCACTCCAAATTGGTGAACAAGAGAAGAGAATCAGAACTGTGAACTTTCAAGGCCATCACAAGCATCTAACTGAAGTTTGAGGTGCACTGGCTGGGTGTAGGGGTTTAAAGTCAAGTGGAGATAGAGGGCAGGCCTCTCCCCATCTCCCTATCTCACGAAGCCCCTGGAGCTGATTTAGGTCATGAACCAGAAACTGCAGAACAAGAAAGGAATCTTTCCTACCTCTCTGCCTAGGTGACTTTAGTGGCTGTCATTTGTATGAGCTCCCTTAATGAATAGACTGCTTTCCTTTGACCAGCTTGCTGAGTCCTTGGCTTTTCCAGAACTGACTGTCTGGACTATTGCAGATGCTGCTGAAAGAAGCCACACTTCCAACCCGCTGTTAGGTCTACATAAAAACACTCAGTGTGTGGCGGTACTGAAGGAAAAAATCCCTGTGAGATAGCAGGTCCCCCAGGAGTGGAGGTCAGAAGAGGTTTTGGCTACTCTTTTACTGGGAGAAAGGCATCGTGGAGACTGATGTTTGCATAAGAGGCTCAGGATATTACTGCTCTTGTTACAGTCTCCAGGGGAGCATAAGGGGCCAGAGTCCTTGCTCCAATCTTTAGGAATTTAAGTGCTATCTCCTGAGCTCAGTAGATAAGCCCAACCTCTAGTTTTACAACACAGAAATCTCTAAGGTCATGACATCATAACCCCTCCAAATGCTACCCTGCCTCCTTAAAAGGAATCTGGGATCCTGTCTTGAGCTAGAACCAATCATCTCCTGAGGAGACTGGATATGTTTGCTTGTTATTTCCAGTATGCTGATCTATAAAACATGTGGGATTTCAGGCTGCCTTTGCAGTCTGTGGCTTACTGTATACATGTGCTGAATAATAAAATAGCTGTCTTTATTTCCACCTTGACTGTAGAGGTCTTTGTTGTCCAGAACCTCCAACTGTCCTAGAGAGAAAGATGGAAGTCAGCCGTCTCATGCCAGGCAGAACTGTTATGGTCCTTCAGTTGTGAGGACATTGAATGCCACTAACTTGCTATGGCCCATGGTGGTGGGGGAGTAGAGAGGAGGAACAAAGGACAGGAGCACACTGAGCAAGAACAGTTAGAGTGTGGTGGCTGGGCAGGGTGAAGCCCCTCCCAAGGTTGGTCCTGCCTTATTCTCCTTCATGGAATGAGGTACCTCACCCACTAGAGTGAGTGGAAATTCTATTTCTTCTTTTTCTCTACTTCCCATCTCCTTCTCCTTCATCTGGAGAGAGGAATGAAGCAAGGTTGGAAGCCCAGACTTGTACCGGTCAGGAGGACAAGGATGGTGCCTGGGGACCAATTCCTTGAGCACAGGCTGGATGCAGTATTCATCTTGGGATTGGGCATCACCAATCGCAATGGCTGCCCTACCACAA